CCCCCCCAAAACAATCACTTTTACTGAAGACTCGGCAGTCAACAACGTTCAGCTTCTTTGTATGCATTTCCAATCTGAGTTGGTGTGCCTTGATGATGATTTGTATCATTTTATCTCCAGTTAATGACCGGGGGTGGGTGGGGGGGGAGGGTGTAACGGGAGGTTATGGATATGGTGGAGGAGGAGGAGAAAGGCAAGTAGGTTTTCAGTAGATATCGGGCAAGTCTTGGTAGTTCCTGTTGAAGTATCCACCAGTGTAGATCCAATCCTGGGAACCTGTGTATGGATTGGTGCCCATCTGGAACCACCTAAAAAAAAAAAAAATCAACACAGGTTACACTTCTGTAGGGATTTACTATGGCTTTGGTCTTAAGTGTGTTACCAGTTTCTAGATATAACTTTTATAATTAACCTCCAAGAAGTCTGTGTATTATTTTCCACCTGCATTTCCCTGTCAATCTGTAATCTTAACAGCTGTCCTTCCTTTCTGCGTCTTCAGCCTGCAGCTCTTTTAATCCATTATTCAGTTCAAAACGTTCTTCACAAACTTCAGTTTTCATACGGTATAAACAAATAAATCTCATCAATGATTAGTGAGCTTTAAATATACAGACTTCGCTTCACTGAATCCGTTTCCAGCCTTTGTAATAAAGTAAGCGGATGTTGGTAGCTTCAATTTTATTAAACAGAATGAGAGTGGAACACAAAATGTCCATTATGTAAATAATATTTTCTTAACACTTGCAGTAAAAGCTACATTCCATGTTGTGGCCATGGGTGAGGGTAGGAATGTAGATTAACCATTATGGTAACAGATTCTCCTTTAGGGCTCAGCTCTACTCTTAACAACTAACCAGAACAGTTTCTGCAGCACTGCAATCCCCCTGCTATTCTCATGTACACTGGACATCTAACAGCATCATGAAAACTTCATTACTTTTGGTATATTTTGAAGCTGTTGTAAAGGTTACCACAGAAAAATTTATTAAAGTGAATTCATGTGTTAGTGTGCGTTTCTCACCTAGTAGACCACTCCTCATCTCTCTTGGCTCTCTCTTTTCTGGCAGCTCTCTGTTTCTCCTCCAGTCTTTCCTTTTCTTTACTGGCCTCATCTTCACAAGAACAAAGAGTCGAAAGGTTTCAGATTGTAACAAAACATTACAAACAAAACAAACATGCTTATTTACCCCTTTAATTTCATTTGTTTCCATTTTTCTTTAGGCACCTGTGGAACTCACTCACTTTGGATTGGCACAATACCATCAACATCCAGCAGGTGGAAGCACTGACTTATTGCCAATCCTTTGCTTTGAGCAGCAGAAGTAAAACATTTGTAGTTTCTTTTCTTTATTGGTTCTGTTTTGTTTTTTGTTGTTGTTGTGTTTTGTTTTACTTTCACAGAGTGATCATTCTAAAAGTCGTCTTAAACGTCCACATAGTCATAGCATACTGGTTTTCTTTTTAAACAACAGTTCTGTCAAACAAGTTATTGAATGTCAGCCAGCGACGCATTCAAATTTGATCAGATAAAATCTAATTACCCATGTTGCTGTTCTCCATTGCTCTGATGTCAGGCCTGAAGCGACAGTCTGTGTGGGGCAGGATGGCCTCCATGCCGGGCTCCAGCTCATTCAGACACATCGCAAAGTTTGTGAAGTTGTACATCTGGGAAACAGAGAAAGAATAAAAGATGTCAAGAATGAGTGTGTTTGCGTGTGTGCGTTCTGGGCCACCAATTTGGATGTGTAACTTTATTTTTGATACCACAGAAGAGTGTGCTGGTCTAGAGTCTATCCTCCATAACAGAGTGCTTCCTGGTACAACAGACACAGTCTCTTGGACTTCGGGCATGTCATCTGCGTCATCGTTCTCAGCGCCCTCAAGTTCATCCTGTGAATGATACAACTCACTGTAACTACTGGACCAATTGATAGCATCAGCAGAGACTGAACGCTGCAGGCACAAACAGTTACCAGCGAGATCAAAGCTTCTGTCAGTATCTGTTTATTTCCAAACCTGCAGTTTGGAGCATTTGCACACAACTACAAACAAATAAGCAGACTAAAAGGGGAAGAGCTGAAAAACCTCTGCACTGATCTACACAAGCTTGTTAGTTTACCTAGATACGACCACACAGATTGCTGTGGACAATAACAGGAAATCAAGACAGAAGAAGAAAAGGAAATATGACTTAGATGAATTTATTTATTTTTTAAAAGAAAGAAAGAAAGCCCACAGACTGGCACTACACTGTTGTTTTTTTATGATTTCTTATTGCAGATGTAAAATATTAGTTGCACAGGTTCTTACATTTTTCTGCTTTTTGTTGTCTCCTTTCTTCTCAGACTTCTTGTGTGCTTCATAGGCCTGAGGGTCGACACTCCACATGCATTCAGTCCATTTCCCATAGATGACAGCAAGCTTCTTTTTACTGGATAGAAACGGAAGATGAAAACGACAGTAAGAAGATGTGGCAGGAAAAGGAGCAAAAAGGGCAAGACACAAAAAGTTGGAGATGCAAGTGGAGAGAAGAAATTGTTAGAAAAGACAAAAAAAAAGGTATGTAAAAAAGAAAATGGTCAATAATAGGAGAAGAAAAGTACAATGGAAAATGAGATTGAAAATAATGAAAATGCATTAGCATGTCTTTTTAAACGTTTGAAGACAGAAAGATTCACAATGTAGATGACAAACCAGTTAGAGTAAACACAAACCTCTTGTCTTGGATGTATCCCTCCACTTTGTGTAGCTCTTTGCCAAACATCCCACAGGGCTTGAAATTCAACACACATTTGTCTCCAGTGCTGCAGGAAAAATGAGACAAGAGCCAATTAACATCTCTTCACTGGCAGAGCTCATTATAGTGAATTAAACAGACAAAGCAACATTATTTGACATTATAAAGTGGTGGATTTATCATGCAATTATACGTTCATATAAATCACTTTGCATGGCTATTTGTATAAAAGAGGTTCACGTTCAAACCCTGCTGTTTTGACAACAGTTAGTCAGTGCAAGTAAGGTCTGGCTGATTCACAGTTACTAGCATGAATCTGTGCAACTGTGTGAATAAGACACAGCACGCTTAGCAATAAGGACAATAAAAGCTTTGCACTGCTTTCCTAGAAAAATAAATGTTGAAGGAGACGTTGTTTGCCTGTGAAGCCACATAGAGCATAAGCAGGCTGGTGTCTAGTATTAGACGAAACAAGGAAGGTGCACGGCAGGAATGGAGAACTGTGGGTAAACATTTGTTAGCCTTACAGTGTTTCATCTGAACTTGACTGCAGTCATTTCCTCACTCTAGTTATAGGGAAGCATTGTGATCAATACAGGTTAAACACTTCTTAGTATCTAGTTCTATCATGCAAGCATCATTTAAATACCTGTGGTTGACTATTTCTACTGTGCCATACTGTTCTATCCACAGTTTTCCCAGTATGACATTGTGTACACAGCAGTTAGGGTTGCTCCATGTGTATGCCTCCCTGTGCCTAGATGAAAATTGCAGGGGGGGAAAAAAAAGAAAAAAAAAGGGGAAAAAAAAAAAGAAAGAAGAAAGTTTAAAAAGAAAAAGGGAAAAAAAAAAGACAACACAATGAGAACTCAGTTTTAGATTAAAATAAATGAATAAATAATTTAAACGCAAAGATTTTAAGTGACCAACTTGAGTAGCTCTAGTGTGATAGTCCCTTTAGGCTCTGCCTCAACGCTCTTGCCCCAGAATTTAAGTTTAGGGTAGATGGAGCCGTGGAACACGAAATCCCCAGCCAGGCTCTCTGCATGAAATGCACTCACTGGAGGATGATGGGATACCTGCTCAGACACTATTCGGAAATCCTGGTCCTCTCTGCAAGAAGCAGGGGTGAAAAGAGAGACTGAAAGCTAACTGGTAAAACAAAGTGACCTCACAAAAAACGAGAAAAAAAAAAGCAAGTGTACCTGATAAGTTCATAGGTCTCTCCCAGCAAAGGATTAAAGGGCTTTCCAGTTCTGTCCCACTGCGACGCAACTGCTGACACAGCAAAAGCAGCTACTGCCTAAACAGAAACAATTACAGACCAAGTTAGCATGCGCGTATGTGTCCAAGTCATCTCTTCAGTATGTCTGTTAGTGTTTTGTTTTTTCCTTCTCCCCATACTATGTCCAGATTATTTGCATTTCATTTATGATATTCGATTGGATAATTTTTTTGGTGGCTCTACTGCAACCATTCAAAGCAATGGACAAGAGAGGTGAAGACAGAGTGTCATTGTGGGGAGCTAGGGTGGAGTGGGTGGAGAAGAGTGTCAGGGGTGATAGCAGAGAAACATGGTAGATGACACAGGACGTGTGTGTCCACGTCTCTCCCTACCTGCATGCGCTCTATGGAGTCGGACATTGAGGAGGTTCTGTTGATGAGGTAAGTGTGTTCCATATATTCCGTGATTCTCTGCAGGAAGCTCAGCGGCTCGTTGAAGGCAATGGGCATCGTGATCTTGGACAGTTCCTGTTTAACATTAAGATAAAAGCTGAATATACTCTATTATATCACAAAAACTGTAATTGTGTCAGCAGCCAAAGCACTAAACACTAGTTAAACCACAGGTTAACTAGAATAACTCCTAAAATACAACATGACTAAACACAGTAGTGCATATAAAGGGGGGAAAAAATGGAAAGAAATTACAGTAAACTATAATGGGAAAAAAAGCTACCTAACATATTACCCTTTATACTATTGAACTCTAAAACGTTTTTCAAATTGTGGTTTTAGCAAGTAATTTTATGTAATATATTTTTCTTGTTTCAGTTTATCTGTGTGCAAATTAAAAACTGTAAATACTGCCCAATATGACTATGAAAACCTCTATGAAAGCCTTTCACGTACAGAAGAGAAGCTCTTAAATCTGATAACCAGCTTTCCCTTACCAGTCCAATACATTTTTTCAGGATACTCCACACACTGATATTGTTTCTGGAAAACATGGGTGCAGGGAGAGATGTCCTGAAATGGAGAAGAAAAGAAATATCCAAGGTTGCAGATAAGAGATAGTGCGTTCAGGTTTGTTATCAGGGCAGAAGATAAAGAAATTCTGCACGAAGATAAGAACAAGTAAGTGCAAAGCCAATTCATCTCACCTCTGTTCACAGGAACTAAACCCAGTCACCTAACCATCCTAAAATTCCTACTTGGTAATTTTCCACTGACATCTTAAAATTTATAAAAGGAAATTAACTCAAGTAAACACACCACACCTTCACATATAGGTCACCCAAGTCAGCCCCCCACTGTGAACAACAACAACAACAACAACAAAACTCCCCCCCTTTTTTCCCCCCTCATTATTTTTAAGCTTAAAAATACGTCACCTTTAAACTGCTGCACCCAAAAAATTGCAGCATTGTGTGCCTTTCTGTGTATGCGTTTTGTATGAAACTGAGCCATTACAAATTGTGACCCTGCCCAAAAATGTTCCACTTAACTCAATTGTTTTTGACCAAGAGAGTACTTCTCCACAAACAAGTACACACACAGCAGATGGAATGTGGGTGAGGAATGCAGGAGTACCTGTGTTTCTTGATGCCATTTTCTTGTGGGACTGATCCATTGTTCTTCTGGCTGCTGCTGCCAATCCCTTGTGCATCTTTGAAACTGGCCTCCGACAGCCCCTCGCACGACTCGTCCGATTCCAGGCCTGCGGAAGAAAAAGAAATGTGGCATTCAAAGAAAACTGACGTCACAGATATCCGCACCATGTCAACTTCTTTACACTTGTTGTAAACTAAGAAACCTGGGACAACAACAGTAAACTTGTTTATGAGGTAATAACAATCTACGTCTCAATTCAAACCTTTCACATAAGGAAGCCTGGCCACGACAACATAGGGCCACATTTAACACAAATACCTTTCGGCATCATTGCTCAACATGGAGGAGAGCATATTATAAGGAGTCATATTCGCCATCATAATCTCAAAAAAAGGACAGATTGTGAATATCTTGCATCTCGTCAGTGGATTTAACAAAAAGGCAGATGTTCATGGCGTGGGAATGAGAATGGGCTGGAATAATCTGCAGCGTAGTACTGTAGGATGGAGTTGTGGGCAATTAAAGGTGGTGCATTAACAAAAGCTTAAAAACACTAATGACTATCATTACTCAGAAAACACGCCTAATCAGGTGTCAGGTACAAAGGTGCATTGTTCGTATCATCACATAAGTCACAACAAGATATTTTATTTTAGTACTGAGACACCCTGCGACAGACTGGCGACCTGTCCAGGGTGTACCCCGCCTCTCGCCCTATGACAGCTGGGATAGGCTCCAGCGCCCCCGCGACCCTGAAAAGGATAAGCGGAAGCGAATGGATGGATACTGAGACGTCGCAAGTTCCACTTCCTGAGAAACAAAATGTATTGCACAGTATGAAACTGACTCATTAAATGCAGGATGTGCAACACAAAATTATTTGCCACACATTAGTGTTGACCCATAGCCAGGGTTGTGGAACTTTAAATATTTGATAATCTCTTTTCATGTATTATATAAGCTGCACTTCAACAATGTCTTTCAAGCTTCTGTAGGTGTTATGAAGGTGTGCCCCGGGCAAATCATCAAGCACATTAGTAATATTTTTAAAATAAATAGTTACAACAAAATATTTGAGGGTAAATTAAGAAGAGAAAAAGATGCTAAAGCCAAGCCAGATGATACCTGATGCTACCACATAAATAATAGATCACCGCTGTTCTGCATCTGTCTCAAATTACTAAGATGATCATAACAATGGCACAAAGACAGGTGCAGGCACACACACAGCCCTTTTATTTATACCTGAATGGAAATGACTTGCTAAAGTGACGACAGCCATATAGCAATGGCTCTACGTCAACATGGGGTAATCAAACAACAAAACAGTGATTCTAATATTTATTAACAGAGAACACCACCCTGCCTGCCCTCTTATTATCCTTGCACAGAACGAGCTGTTAAATAAGTGGCTGCACTGCTAATTTATCTACAACAATAAAGTGTTTGCATGCCTTTATTTCTCAGAGTTAATATTATAATCATATTTCAGCATTCAATGCTGAACCTACACATGCTGACTTCATTAATCCTGAGATTTTATATTGTTTTGATGTCTTCTAAACTTGAGGTAGATCTGCCTAGAGTAAACAGTTCAAAGTTCATCTCTCCTGAGTTTCCAGGTATCTGCTTCCAAGAATGCTTGCTCACAAACCCCAGGCGAGTCACCATGGCTGTACTTTGTAATTATAAATGGGTACTGCTTGATATCAGACCTTCACCTGGACTGTAACATTAGGCTGCACGAAATCCTGAGAGTGCTGACTTCAAGGACTATTAACTGCTGCTCACAAAAAAAAAAAAAAAAAAGTGAAAATACTTTTAAAAAGAGTGAAGTCTAGCTGGCTTCCTCAAATATGCTGATTTGGGGTAGTCACCACTATCCCACTGACACCAACTTTGGCGGTTTCTACCAGATGAAATTTCTTTGTGAATATAATACAGACACACAAGTATGAACCACACACCCTCCAGGTTGTTGTTGATATCACTAATCATAGTCGTAAGACAGCCAACCTCTGAATTATTCAACTAATCATCAGACGAAGGCAGGTTAAGTTCCACTGGACAGCATTGTGCTTCGACAACAAAAACAGACCATCTAATTAGGAGTGGCAGCCTCTTGCAGAAAAACCATGTAGCAATTTCCAGAGAAAGACTAAGACCTAAGAAAAATAACGATTACATATATACATCAGGTCTAATAAATACCAAAACGCTAAACAAAATATTTCTCTTCCTCTAAAAACCCTTTTTAAGTTTTTAAACTACCAAAGGAGAAGTGAGAACTACAAAATCACAATACAGTCCTGAAATACAGGAAGCATGCATGTTTCCCCTTTCTTAATAAAAGATAAACTAGAGGGAAACACGTCAATAAGTATGTACATTAAGCACCCACCTGTGACGGCATCGAAGAACTCATCGTCATTGCTCATCTTCTAGAGTCAAAGCTGACCAGTTGTTTAGGACAGATGTTGAACTTCTAGCACATGTTCCTTTTGGTGGCTGCTCTGAAAAGTTACTCTGGAAGGAGACCTGTCAATCTAGGTCTCGCTTGAGTGTCACCACAACAACAGAGCAATGTTTGTCTGATATCGAGACAATGTCCCAAATACAGCTTCACACAGATTTTCAGTAGATGGTCTGTCCTCAGAGGAATGACACCAGCAGATGTCAATTTGAGCAAATCAGCTGCTTAGTTAGCAGACAAACAACGGATGCACTTCCAGTCTTCAATTTATGTGGCTCTTTTGACCAAGGCAAATGAATAATCTGTAGAAAGAAAAAAAGAAGAAACAAATATATTACTAACAATCAATATAAAAAGGTTATAACTAGTGTTTACTTGCCATGTTTGTTCCCTCCACTTTTTTTTTTTTAAGTCAAAAGTGGAAAAATAAAGTCAACACATTAAAGTTCAGACCTCCAAAAATGTGTTATTTTTTGTTTGTTTTTTCTTAAAATGGGTATAATCCTTTATTCTCATTTAATTAATTGTAAATGCCTTTATACAACAACCAACTTGCACAAAACCCCCCAAAACAAAGTCGAAACATTTTTGAAACCAAATTGCTTGCACAAATTTTATACAAATTTTATGTATAAAGGCCTTAAGGGTGTAAACATACTGCTGGGATCATAATGTTCTTAGGTTGCAATAATCCTGCAATTTAAGGTAATTTATAACTGAAATTGCCGTAGCCTCCACTCCCTCCAAGGGATTTCTACTTTCTTTGGAGTTGAAACAATTTGGGAGAATATAAACCATCATATGCTTTGTCTTCAAACACATTCACACAAGCCCTAGAGCAACAATTCAATGGCAAATCAGAGACCTTTGTGAGCTACAGAAAGCTGCACACAATGTCATTGCATCCTTCATGCTCTGAGTACTAATGTACTAAGAATAATCAAAATTTTAACACATTTTCTTCCATTTCTGGAATGATAACCTTCAAAAATAAAAACAACATGCAGAGAAAATTGCATTAAGTGGACCATCTTGATGCTCTTTACAGTAGATCTAACCATCTGTTCCATCCGCTCAAAGTCTGCTTGTTCTGTCACAGTCACAATTTTGTCTATCATGGCTTGTTGCGTGAAAACAGAGATGTTTCTAGTTCAGTAGTTACGCAATTGGGACACCACTGTCACAGGCATTCTGAGTCTTTGTTACCCTCTGCTTGGTACATTAGCTTCACCCAGTTTAAAAGCAAGACCCAGAATAACTTGTAACTCCCCAGGTCAAAATTACCAGCCCAGAGTTTTGAGAGTTTCAAAACACATTTTAACATGGACTTAAACTTTCAAGGAAGTAAAAGGAGTTGTTTAATTAGTAACTTAACCTTCAAGAAATACAATTCGTAATAAACTGAAACTCCAGTTTATTCATCACACAGAACAAAAAAAGTAATGCCAACGGGTCAATGAGTGTGTCAATTAATTAGCAAAAACCCGAGCTGCACTTAAAAAGGAATTTGTTCACTGTGCCGACCATATTTAAAAACTATTTAAGATGTAAAAACCTCACACAATATGTAAAAAGATTTTTGTTACCATTACACAGAATATTTTCATCTGGACACTTTAAAAAAAAAATAAATAAAAAAATAAAATAAAAATCAGCTTAGTTTTACAACCACTACTACCATGTGCCTGTTCTTACCATTATTATAAGATAGCATACATCATTTTATTATGACACACCCCACATGTCAAATGTTGACTGACACACACACACAGCTCAGGAATAGGTATCACCAATGGCTCTAAACATTAGAACTAGAATACCAGACAGCTATATGAAAATTAAATTGGCCCCTTTGATTTATAAGGATGATAGAAGAATGAGGCCATATGTGAAACGCATGTGTGTTAACAACAATATGACAGATGTAATCTAGATGGCACCCTCCATTAGCAGGGTTACACATATATGCAATATTTACTTACAACTATTACTAAAATTATATGCAATCTTAATATTTACACACCCAAAGCTAGCCAAATACTAATAAATACCAATAAATACACCTAAAGAGTAAAACTAAACTCTATTATTATAGCCAGTACTTGCTTATTGGGAATGTTGCACAATTAATATAGAATAGAATTCAACTTTATTGTCATTGCACATGTCACAAGTACAAGGCAACAAAATGCTCACATAATATTAATATTGTATGAGCAAGACACACATCCTGAGGGAAGGGGAACAGGCAAAGGTGAATTTGTGTAAGACATACACATCTCATTCCACTGTATTCTGTGCGTTTTTTGTTTTTATTTTTATTTAATCCATTTTCCAATAAATTACACTGACACTTTTATCTACTACTGCCACAGAAAAATAACTTTTGTAGATGCCTATTGTAGGACAAACAGTCCCATGCTAGAAGAATATTTGATAATGAAGGCATGGCCATCACTATTAGCAGGGGTCCCCAACTCCAGGCCTCGGGGCCGGTGTCCTGCAGGTTTTAGATGTGTCCTTGATCCAACACAGCTGATTTAAATGGCTAAATACCTCCTCAACATTCTTGAAGTTCTCCAGAGGCCTGGTAATGAACTAATCATTTGATTCAGGTGTGTTGACCCAGGGTGAATCTAAAACCTGCAGGACACGCCTGAGGCTGGAGTTGACCCCTATAATGGAAAACTCATTCTTATGGTCATAACTCCACTGATCAAGTGTTGCACCATTTAACAGCTTTTAAAATTAGCAAAGTGCCATTTGCATTTACAATTTTCTGATTTATTTTAACAGCAGTATTTCCATCAGGAGTCAAACCAAATTACCAAATGTTATCCACTGTGTTTACAGCAGCCTTTGTGAAGCATAATAATAAAATTGTTTCAGATGAACCTATTTTGGGATATGCAAAAAAAAAAGTTGATACCTACAGGTTACACTTAAGAAAAAAAAAAAAAAAAAGCATCTCTAAACACAAAAAAATGAATATTAATTACATTAATATAATTATATATTAAACAGTAAACCTAAATTCCTTTCTACCCACTTGCTGCTTAGTGGGATCCTCCTGCAAGTAATATTAACATGAGAGCACAGATTAATGTCTAAATAATACAGTAATGCAGTGTGACAGACCTGATCTCCAGAATTATAAAATCTTTACATACCTGAAGCGTAAAGAAAATCCTAAAAGAAATATCCAGTCTCATACAGCTGACTGATTTAGAAGATAAAAATACCAAATTCAGTCTTGTTCCCACTCTCCTGGCCTATTTCTACACAGTGGATGGGTTTTGCCTTTGCCAGAGAAAGGAAACGCCTTCAGCACACACATGAACTTTGGCCTCTGCGTCCACAATTGATAAGGTGGACAGAATGGATGATAAACTATTATTCAAATATTCCACCAGTTAACTCAGTGTCCAACTCAGCATTTTTCTAACTTGTGAAAGGCTGGCTTAAATAAGATCTAGATTTTTTTAAATTAATAAATAAAAATCTCTCTCATTTTCCTATATTCAGTATTAGAAAAGATTTATGCCAACATTTTTTAAAAACAACAAACAAAGAAAAAGAAATTCCACTATAAAAGGGAGTTTACTGTATCAGCTGATCATATCAGTCAGGAGATCTACAGGACAAACGTGATATTTCCTGTGGCCTCGCAAATCACATAAACTAGGGAACTCCCAAACCTTTAAATGGTTCTGCAGGACATTTTGGAATCCCAACCGGAGGAAATCTGACTAATGCACTTGTCTACCAGGGTTTGTGTCGAAAATATGATGGAAGAAAACACCACCTTCTCTAACTCACTTCTTAAAGATTGAGTCGTGGTATGATAATCCGTATTCATATTTCAGTGCATTCATAGTCAGTGGTCTGTGGAAGCTATGGGAACATAATGTTACAGCAGATTCTGAACAAAGCTGTCAGTTAAAAGGCATGTCGCACATTGTCTTCACATCACCAAATGAATACCCCCCAAATACCTGACCACTGAACCTTATATATAGCTATAGTATACAGCAACAGAATGACAGACAAAACACGTTTTCCCAACCTTAACATCCATGCACAAAGCAAACATGACTGAAAATAAAATTTGCGTATGACATTAAATGTTTTGTACAATAGACAGGCCACTTCACAGTTTGTAATTCAACAGTGCTACAATCTCTGTCACCAGAATCAATATCCTTCAGTGAAGCTTTCTAAAATAAGGCAATATCAGAAATGGATATCCATCACATTTTCCTAGCTCCACTAAGGCACACAGAGAAAACAGGAAGATGACGAGTGTGTGCTTTAGTGATGGAAACTATCATCAATAATAGAACTGCATTATTGACTTGATGAAATAAGCTGACCTAGTTCTCACTCAGAAAAGTCAAGACAACACTGACTCGAACTCTAAGCTCATTTCTCAAACTGCTCTTTGTTCACAACCCATTAAAAAGCAGACCCATTTTATAAGGTTGGTTAAACCTATTCAGAATATAAGAAAATTTCTTTTGATAGAGATACAGCACTTGAGACAAAGTATGACTACTGCACTCAGGCTGTAGCTGGTCTTTGTAAGATGTCCAACTAACACTACTTCTTAAAGCTGTTCTGAAGCACAGTTTCAGAGGCACATGACGACCTGAATAATTAGGTTTGTGTATTTGAAAAGTAGTAAACTGAGTGCAATACTTGGAAATTAAAGACTGTCTAATCTATTAATTCTATGTGCTCTAATGTATTCCATTAACAACACTGTTAATTTAATATTCTTTTATATTTTGTAGAACAAATATTTCCCCAGGATTCCTTCTCAGCATCAGCAACAACAGATGAAAGTAAAAATAAATTCTTCATAATCACTGACAAGCCACCGTTTTTATCTGCACACACTAAAACTTGAATTTCAGTTTAAATCCATGTTTAGAAGTTTTGTTTTGCTTTTTGATAGTCTTGCATTTTTAAAAGAACTTACTTTTCATTCCAGAATTGGGCAGATAAATTAAACAGATTCTAACACATACCCACAGACAGCGAGAGAAAAAGAGAGGTATCCGATTGGCTGCAGCAAGCTCTCAGATCATATCACTCGCTGTCTCACACGCCTTGTGAGCCATTACATAACCATGACAGACATGGCACCATATGAGCACCACAACCACTCTCCTCCGTACTTTGATAATAGCTCACCAAATGTAGCCACAAAAAAGGTCAGCAGATGGGGGAGAAAAAAAAAAAAAAAAAAAAAAATTACACAGAACAGAGAGATAAAGCTTTGGAACAGAGATAACTTTACCCCATTCCTCATTCATGTAACTCATTTCAAATACAGACCCACAGACTAAGCTTTCTGATTTAGTTCACTGTTGGTGTCCATTTTTCCAGAAATATCAGGAGAAAGTAAAATAAAACTGTTATGAAACTTTCTAAATCAATAATTAAATAAAGTTAGTTAATTACCTGCAAAATTAGATATAGCAGTACCCATATCAAAGCTTGAGCTAAACCTAAAATAAAACTTTATATCATGAACTAATCCATTTTTTTTTGGATAAAATGATTTATAAATACATAGTGACAGGACCAATAATATCTTCTCTTTTGAAGACAAAGACAGACATTTTAAAATATTACACAGGGTACGTGCACAGTTTATCCCTAGATTTTCTGATTTTGATAAAACATGAGACACTACTTAAACTAAAGCAATTGTTACAAGACAAGTGATTGTGTCAAATCGCACTCCGAGTCCTTCATTAATTACAGATTGTACAACATTTGGTGACAAATTTTACAATCATTTGAAATGCAAACCTACTGATGCCAAAATTCCATTCATAAGCCAAGTAATGTCTGTCTCTGCTGTCCACCGCAGACAAAAAACATCCAAAGCCAAAAGGCGCATAGAGAGAGAGTCAAGAGACTGGCAGAGGTAGAGCCAAGGTGAAAGAAAGTAAAGGACAAGGTTGCCATGCAACATACTGATACAGCATACACACACCTCTATATTTCTCTTTACACACACCTACCTCAACAGGGGACACACCTCTACAGACTGAAACACATACCACATACCAAGTCAGTTTCACATACAAACATGCCACTGATGGCAGAAACTGTATAGCAGACAACCAAAAAAGGCTAACGTTAGAGAAAGGTTGCACCTGAGGTAGTGCTGTACTTCTGGTGATATGGCACAATACTTTCTTTGCTGATTAAATAGAATTGGTAAGGTAAGCTTCCACCATTTGTCTAGTTGCTGAATCTGGGACTTTAAGAAAAACGAACGGTTTTCAGATACAAATATCTATAAAGGTAGGCCTGAAAATATTTGTTGCCTAGCTCCCACATTAACGTTATCATTTTATTATTTGCAGATAGAGGTACTTTACACTGTTCCCTTACTTCCAAATGGGTTGCCACAGCACATGGAACCGCATGTTTGATTTGGTACAAATTACCCTTCCTAAGGTTACTCTGCCATTTATCCAGACTTGGGACCAGCACTTTAAGTACAGTAACTTCTGTTTCCCTGGGACTAGATTTCTGTCCATCGGATATCTGCTAATAGTTATATGGCTAACATTCTCACTGGCCAGGTTAAAGTGTAGAATAACTGTTTAATACTTCAATGTGATGAAACGGGAGCCCCCACCCCTCACCCCAATTTTTCCTCATAGTGATTTATGTTGTTAGGATAGCCCACAAGGACAGCAAGTCCACACTGAAACTAAGAAAGCGTCTGCGCTTTGGTTCTGTTTGTGCATATATAGAGACAGGACTGGCAACTGTTCTATAACCCAAATGTGGCCCACTGTTAAGAGACCTGTTCTACCACAGCCAGAAGGGCTATCTAATGCAGGACTGTGTGAACTAAATGTTAGCTATTGTTGTTAATATTAGTTCCTCACATATAAGAATGATCAGTCCTGGACTTTTTCTTGTTACTAGTCTCTGTGACACAGAGGCTTATTTCTATGAACCTGTGGTCCAGGACAAAATTATACTCTGTGCTGATGTCATTTCATGTCACTTTGATAGTTCCCGGAACTTTTCGGTCAAATAATGCCAAATGCATATTATAAGGACACACGGATAACCCCTGCAATTCACTGTCATTCATCTGATACACTTTATATAGACATCTAAATACTCAGATGCCACACTGCTATTTATGTCATGTGATTAAGTTTTCCTAGCAAAGGCTCAAGGTTAAGATGAAGGAAATGGGTCTCATCTACCATTCTGAGAGAAGTAGGAAGGATGTGAATGTGGCCTGAGAGACAACAGTGGGAACAAGAATCACAGACAGGCCACTGTGTTAGAGGGAGTTCAACAGAGAGCAGCATTTTGCTGTGTGTGCTGTCTGTGCACTAATGAGTGCAGAAAGGGAAGGGGGGGGAGAAAAAAAAAAAAAAAAAAGAAGGGGGGTGGACAGAATCGCTATGGAGATCTGAGTGTTAATAGGCATTTGTGCTCTGTAGATGTAGCTGCAAGTAAACTAAAGCCAAAGCAGCAACCCAAGGAACTGAACTCAGAAAGCACTCAGCAAGTAGTGCACTACTGAAAAACAGCAAGTTACTCAGGAGGAATGAACCTAGCTTGGTCTTGTTGAACGTGGTGACCCCAACCACTCTGCCTGCTCATTCCTAACTTTCTCTTCATGGTTTTGTGCTGGACGTAGGACACATCAAGTCCTATAGAAATCTACTGGAAAATGTTTCTTTTTTTGCATCTAAACATTTTGCCATTAAGCTTATAGTCTCAGTCACTCATTTTGGGTCATATTGAATTTATATTTTGCTAGAAAACGGGTACAATGATTTATTGAAACAGGCGCAAATACACATGAACATATAGTGTAAGGCAACAAAAAAAGTGTTTGCACTATTCTAACAAAATTTATCATTCAACACAGCCTAAACTCTCGCACTGAAGCCTTTTTGTAATTTCTGTCAGTAGTCTCCAGGAACAGTTCTTTAGGCTTCTTGAAAAACATTCAAAGATCTCATTTGGCAAACAATGGGTGGATCAACTCAAAGGCCAGATGCATTTCCCAGGTCCTGTATCAGGTCTCTGCACACCATGCAGAGATATGCCAAGTTTTCAGCCAATAGCTCTTTGAGAATTAACTTGTAAAATTATATTTTTGCACCGACATCTGTCAAACTGTCATCTTTGAAATTTTTTGCACATTCAACTAAAGAAATGAGAGCAAATTATGCGTTTTTGCAACAAGCTGCTGGTAACAAAGCACTTAAAGTTACAATTCATAACATATACATTGTGAAGTCTTCTGCTATGTGTAGACATAACACAGAACAGCGAAGTATTTGGTTAATGGGGAGTTTAAGATTTCATTTATCCAAACTCACCATTATGTGCGTGGTCGCTATTTTTTCTAAGGTCCATATTGATTAACAATGAAAAGCCATCTCATCAGGGATTCAAACCTCTTACACCCCAAGTTTGAATCAGTAGTTTATGATGGTTCATGATGTTTTAGTTTCTTATCTTTTCAGAAACATGTCTGTATACAGGAAAGGCTGTTACGTGATTGTCTTAAGCCCAAGCATCTTACAAAACACAAATGTTTGTACTGTAAGCCAGTACTAGACTGACGTAGAGCAAAAGTTATTTGAGCAAGAGTCTAACTGGGTGAAATGACCAAAATTAGTTCATTTTGTGTTCCGTGCTTCCTGTTTTCATCACAATCAGAATACTTTATTAATCCCGAAGGAAATTAGGGTTACAGCAGGCAGCACGCTAATGGCGCATGCGTACTTACAAAGGAACCTTCTGACCAACTTTAAAAAATAAATAAATAAAAAAATAAAATAAAATAAAAAATACATAACATGAGGTAAGAGGAGGAGGGGAAAAAAAAAAAAAAACTCCACTCAGACTGAGCTCCTAGTGGGAGAACAGTTTGATAATAGAAAAAACACCTCAGCACAAAAAGCACATGACTATCAATACACCATAGAAACACAAGACAAGCAACAGGGGCAGGTAAAGGGTAAGAGAGAGCCGGTGTAGACAGCGCATCCGGTCCTGCAGCATACCTGCGTCAAGCATCGAAGGCGTTTGGAAAGGGAGGGGGGATCAGTGTATGTGTGTGTCCGGAGTTCAGCTGAGACAGTGTCCTTCGCCCCGCCAGGCTAAGTAAACAGTCTTCCAGCCAACCCAGGTGGCCTTGCATGGAATGGGGGGGAACAGTCTAAACACAGTCGTTATGAGGGTGTTTTGTTCAGCTCCAGCCTTGAGGCCGCAGCTGGCGTCGAAGGGGTCTCCGCATGAAGTGATGATAGTTTTTACTTTAGTGCGAACAACTCATAAATTTCAAAGCTGTTCTAACAGTCCAACACTGGTCTCTCAATCTCCCCTTGGAGAGCCGTGAGCTTTCTATGACGTTATCCAAACTTAAGTTCCAAGCTCCAAAGAGCTGGCGAATGGAAGTAGAGCACAAGACCAACAGACGGTCTAACTGACAATCATTCACAAATTACTTTTTATTATAGTATACTGAAACTATGAAATCAAATTCAGTCTACTTCAATCACAAGACTAACCTCACGGAGTACATCCACTGACTGGAGCACTTCAGAAAAACTAAGTGCTAACATTAAAACCATTAATCCATTTACAGAGAGGAAATTGCAATAAACCACACCCAAACAGCCTCAAACGTACACTTTTACATCTGATGCAATAATAACTCAAATGTGTGACGAAAAGTAAACTCTCCTATGAGAATCAAGTACAAATCTTTTTTCCATGTTGGTCAGATATTTTTTGATCCTTTTGCATTTCCTCCTCTTTACTGTAATGTAAAACATGTTTACAGATTATTTAAATGATAGAGTGAAAAATCTTGCCGTATAATAACAAAAGCTCCCAGTGAAACTTCTGAAATACACTGAGGACTCATGTAACCTCTAGATTGCATAAGTCATTCAGCCTTAGAAGTGAGGAAGTAGGGGGTGAAAAAAAATGTCTCAAACAAGTACACAAAAACTGGAGTACATTTGCAAATGTAAAGAAATTAGCATACATATAACAGAGATACAGAGATGTAATTTGATGCTCTATGTATATGAGTTTATGTGACAACGAATTTAACGTCATGTTACGCTGTTACTTGGAAGTAATGGAACAAATTACTTAATGACCCATCAGAGAAAGTAACACTGCATTATTTTTAAGAAAAGTAATGAATAATA